CTCCCTTTTCCTTCAAGTCCTGCGCTCCTCCTCCATCTCAACTGCCCTGCGCAGTCCCAAGCCCCACCCTCCCCAGCCCCAAGTCCCATGCCCCACCTCCAGAAAGACCAGCCCGTCAGTCGCACCTTATCCACTCACTGGCCCCTGTGTGGCCTCCCCTGCCAATCTTCCCCACCCCCTCCTCTTGTCTGGGGCCTTCTTTTCAAACCTCAGAATGCCAAAGCCAGCAGGGACACTGGGGAGCCCCCGGCACCCCCACCCCGGCCCCCACTATTGCAGGGGGCAATAAGCGACCTCACCACCACCACCACCCCCGAGAAGGAGGAGGAGGAGGAGCAGCGAATGGCTCCCAGGCCTGTGCTTCTCCCGGCTCCTGGTTACCTGGGCCCTTGGGCTGGCAAGCTGGCAGGCTGGCCCCCTCTTCCTCCTCTTCCTCTTCCTCCTCCTCCTCCTCCTCTGCCCCCTGGGCCCCCAGGCCCTCCGCCTCTCCACAGGCCCCCAGGCCCAGGTGGGCATCCCAGCTGCTGCTGATGACCTCCTTCTCTCGGGGACTCCAGTGCAGGGAGTAGGGGTGCTTCTGGCGGATGTGCCGCTTGATGGTGCTGAGCTTGAGGGTGGCCAGGGAGCTGCCGCACACCATGCACACCATGCCGTGCCGCGCGGGATTGAAGTCCATCAGGTACTCCAGCCGCCAGTGGTCGTGGTAGTAGCGCCGGTGGTCACGGCCGGGGATTCGGCTCTTTCCGGGCCTGGAGGCCCGGGCCTCACAGTGGTCAGAGTATTTCCTGCCTGCTGATGCTGGGCCTCGGGCCCTGGAGGACAGAGGGGTACTTCCCCAGGACCCCAAGGCACCCCCTTCCAGCTGTAGATCTTGCCCTGAAGAGGGGGGAAGGGAGACAGCGTTTTTTCAACCTCCAAATTCCTGGGTGGGAACCCGAGACTTTGCTCAAGCGCAGGACAGTGATGGAGACATCGATGGGGGCATCTGAGGGAGTTGCCACGGGGGCCCTTTAAAAGATCATCGTGCACAAAAGGGTGCGGACACAGAAGATGGGGGCCAGGCAGGGGCATGAGGGCCAGGGAGGCAGCGGGTCTGTGTGGGCCCTTTCGGAGAGTGAACCCTGGAGACAAGCAGCAGGCTGGGCAGTCCCAGCCAGAGCAGCCAGGGGGGCGGGAGGCACAAAGGGGGCATCTGTCTGCATCCAGGGCTGCATTCGGGATCCACCCACCTGGGGCCCTGGCCAGGAGGGCCCCACCCAGAATCTTCTCCCTTTTCCCAATAATGCCTCAAATACAGCTTCCTGAGAGCTGACACGCCCCCCCCCTGGGTGGGCGGGGTAGGTGCTAAACACTCAGTTCCCCCAAATACAGGCAACCACTGAGAGGTTCCCCAAGACAAGGCTGACAGCACTGCCAGGGCAAGGAGACCTTGGGTCCCCTAGAGCCTGTGAGAGCCAATGACCCTGGCTGGGGAGAGGGAGAGCGCAGGAGGCCCATCAGAGTGGCGGCTGAAGAGACTGCGGCAGGGAGTGGCCACCAGCCCACTGGAGCCCATTAAGCCTTTCTGGGGATTTATTTTTTGCTCTTGGCAGGGAGCTGGCCACCGCCCAGCACTCAGATGGGCGGATGCTGGAGAGGCTGAGCACAGCCCACTAACCCCGTGCCGCTTCCCGTTGCCAGACAGCCAGAGACCCCAGTGGGCCCCCTACCTCCTGGATGGTCAGGAACCTAGTTTATTTTTTTTAATGGTCTCCTGAGCAGCGAGACTGAACGGCCAGATTTTGGGCATTCCCCCCAGTGGAAAATCCAAGGGTCAGATACACAAAAGACAAGATCAGAAAGGGCTCCTGTCACTCCCTCCTCCCCCTTTCTTTTTAAAGTAAAGTCAGAGAAAACGTACTGACTTCACATCTAGTGAGCTGGGTTCGAGTCCTGACTTCACAGGTAACTTGCTCTGTGACCCTCGATAGGTCACCTCTGCTGGGGCCCTAAGCGCCTTTGTCTGAAAAGGCATTGGATCTAGCATTGGTCTCTAAGCATCCTGCCAGCACTGGATCCCAGCTAGTCTAAGGTGGACTGGCCCTTTAAGGGCCGAATAAAGGGGAGGTGCCGAGATTCTTTAAAAACAAAAGGGGCCAGGGAGTTCCTGCCCCGAGAGGGGAGGGGACGCAGACACGGGCAGAGTCTCCCGGGACCCGGACGGGACCTTCCGGGGTCTGAACGCCTAGTCCCTGGCAGCAGTGACAGGAGGCAGCAGTGCTGAGCAGGGCGCCCTGGCTGCAAGCACTAGCGCTGACACATGTGGCAAACATTTTCTGAAACGAAGGGGGGAGATAGCAGAAGCGGGCCTGTCTTGTGTCTTTGTGGGCGAGTCCAGCCCGTTCAACCCGACGGGGCACGGAGGTGGCGGGCCCCCCAGGCTCAAGCTGTGAGTTTCCCACGGGAGAACGTGGGAGAAAGAAAAAGAGCCCGGGCCGAGGGGACCGATTTAACGGAGCCGAGTGGCGAACTCTGCGGCTCTGGGGGGAAAGCCCCCCGTCCCCAGGGGACCCGGGGTCTGACTTCACTTTGAGGGGACAGCTGGATAAGAGAGATCACCGGGGAGTCGGACCCAGAAAGGGGCGGGG